ACCCCTTCGACCATACACAGACATCACACATTTCAGGGGAAGACAGGTCAGATGAGAGGTAGCTTTTAAAAAGAGGAAATAATATACATTAGGGAAAAAGGAGGTGAAAAAAAGCCCCTCTCAGACTATCCTTGATGTAGGGCAGTGTGAGATCAGGGGGGGGGGAAGCCCCAGCATGTCACTAAAGATGAGGTAAATTCAGCTTTCATCAAATGAATAAAGATGCTTGAAGTATATATTTTGCAATATAATAATATTTCACAATATAATGCAGTTTTAATTAAAGAAATACCACCCAGGTAACCATTAGACTAAAAAACAAAACAAAAAAAATCATTAAAATACGTTTTCTATGCAAATTATTTAATGCTATGTTTATCCTCTTTTAATTCACAGTGGCAATAAATCTGATCGTCCAGCATATTCAGGACATCCTAAACGGTGACATCTGCAAGTGGCAGAGGGGTTCGGTCAATGGCCACAACCATGGGCGGAGTCTAAAGAGGGGTGTGGCCGAACATGGTGAAAACCCGAGTGGAAGCAGCAGCAACCTTACAAAGCGTCCATTACTGGAGCCCAGCACACGACCACACTGACACAATGTAGAGCCTGTACATCACACACACCTCAATCACCGCATGCTTCCAACACAATGGCTGTAGCCCAAATCGCCCCTACACCCTCATTCACTATTACTTATAAAATATAAAAAATATATAAAAAAATGCCACTATTATTATAACTTTTTTGGCAAAATGGATGTCACTTTCAGTTCGCAATTTAATGGAAACACCTAATTCTTAACGACCAACAATATCTGTCATCATTTGCATAATAATCACATTCATAATTTTGCATAAAACAACAGCCAGTAGCAATCACATCCTTCTTACTCATATATCATCACATACGTACCAAACTGTCTTGAATATTCCTATGACTTCTCATGACGACCTTATGCCACAAGAGCTGTAAATGTGGGGGGGGGGGGGGGGGGGGGCGGAACGTGGGGGGAAAAAAACGTTTCCATTGAAGTTCGCGAATTATTTCTATTTTGTGCATAAAAGAAATCTAATGTGGGATGTTTTTGTGAAACGGACACGTTTCCATAAGGCTTATTTTCAGTTCGCAATTTTAATTTGCGCAATTGAATGAAAAACAGCTTCATCTACTCTCAACATCCTCAACATAAAAACGACATTCACAATTTTGCAGAAAATAAGTTCATAGCAATCACATCCTAGTTACCTATACGTTATACATCATCATATACATACCAAACCGTCTTTACAGAATGATCGTACGACTTCACGACGTATGTCCCAAGATCTGTCAATGTAGGAAAAAACGTTTCTTTTGCAGTTTCCAAAATATTTAAATTCTGTGTGGAAAAAAACAAACAAACAAAAAAAACTTTTGCACTATGTAGGTGTTATCGGCAAATGGACACGTTTCCATAAGGTGTATTTTTAGTTTAAATGGACAAATTACTACATTTACACTTAACGCCGTGCAATATCTGTCATCATTTACATAATAATAACATTCAAAATTTCGCATAAAATAATAGTCAGTTGCAATCAAAGCCTTCTTACCTATACATCACCATATACATACCAAACCGTCTATAGAGAATGATCTTACGACTTCTTGACGTATGCCCCAAGACCTGTCCTTGTGGGAAAAACTTTTTGCATTGCAGTTTGTAAAACATTTCAATTGTGCGCATAAAAAATGAAACTTTTGCGCTATGTAGGTGCCTTCGTGAAATGGACACGTTTCCATAAGGTGTATTTTCAGTTCGCAGTTTTAATTTGCGCAAATGAATGGCAAAATTACATTTCCACCAAACTTTCTGCAATATCTGTCATGATTTACTCAATAATGACGTTCAAAATTTAGCATAAAATACGTTCATAGTAATCTTCGCCTTCTTACAGATACATTATACATCATTATATACACACCAAACTGTCTTTAAAATATGATCTTACGACTTCTCGACGTATTCCCAAGACCTGTTAATATGGGGAAGAAAACATTTCCATTGCAGTTTGCGATATATTTCAATTCTGTGTGTAAAAAAATTTTTTTGCACTACGTCGGTGTTTTTGTGAAATGGACACGTTTCCATAAGGCGTATTTTCAGTTCACAATTTTAATTTGCACAATTTAATGGACAAATGGCTGCTTTTACACTCAACGTCCTATGATATCTTTCATCATTCGCATAAATCAGTAGCAATCATGGCCTTTTTACCTATATATTGTATATCATCATTCACATACCATGCCATTTTTAAAGAATGATCTTATGACATCTTAGCGTATGTCACATGATCTGCAATACAAAAAACGTTTCTATTACAGTTTGTTAAATATTTCAATAGTGAGCGTTAAAAAAGTTTGCACTATGTAGGTGTTTTTGTGAATTGGACATGTTTCCATGAGGCGTATTTTCAGTTTGCAGTTTCAATTTGCACAATTGAATGAACTTGTAGCTATCTGTAAACTGTCGATGTTCTATACATAAATAACGTTCATCTGTGGTTAAATTCTGCATATAATAACGGTCAGTCGCAGTCAACACAGTGGTACAATTTATAGCGCTCCTAACTATACGTTGTATGTATGTATATGTATATATATATATATATATATATATATATATATATATATATATATATATATACATACATACATATATATATATGTATATATATATATATATATGTGTGTGTGTGTGTATACACACACACATATATACACACACACACACACACACACACACACATATACATATATATATATATATATATATATATATATATATATATATATATATATATATATATATATATACATACACACACACACACACGTATGTATACTGTCTTTAAAGAAGGATCTTTTGACTTCTTGACGTATGGCACAAGACCCGCCAGTGTAAGAAAAAAACATTTCCATTACAGTTTGCGAAATATTTCTATCGTGAGTGATGTTTGCGAAATGGATGCATTTTTAATTTTAATTTACACAATTTAATACAAAAAAAGGTTACATTAAACTTTCAATACGTCATCATTTACATAATCACATTCATCTGTGCTAAAATTCAGCATATAATAACAATCGGCACAAAATGGTACCATTTTCACAGCCTTCTCACCATAAAACATGAGATTGAATAATAGAGTAGCTATATTTATCACGAAGACGAGAGTTTAAGGTTTTAATAATGTTCTTGCCTTGTCGAGATCAGTTTGGTCTGGATAAGAACTAAAGGTTGAAGTATATATATTTAAATGGATTAATGTGATATTTAAATTTTAAATCTTGCCATCACTGGTGTCTTTTTATGTTTTAATCTTCCACCTTTGTTTAATTTATGTCGTTACTCTACAGTCTGAAGTTTGATCCGAACTGTGAATATTTAAAGATAGATTTTTGCCTTTTTCTTGTACACTTTTTTTAAACATTAAAATAACATACTTATGTGACTTGATGATTGTTTGCTTTTATATGTTATGTCTGATAAATAGCGTCACAATTAATGACCAAATAAACCCCACTATTTAATTTGCACATGCATTCGTATTGCAGAGTTCAAAAAAAGGATGCACATATGCAATTCTAGCATTCATTTAGTATTGTATTAATGTTTTTGAAGACTAGGATTTTCAAAAATACAGTGTGTTCAATAATATTGTAAAACGTTTTGGTTCTGTATGTCGTGATTTTGTTTCTTACAGATATGAATTACGAGACATTAATCTCTGCTGTGTGGAGTTTGAGGTTGAAAATTTAACTCTAGTGACTTAACTCTCAGTTTAACAAAGTGACTTTTATAGACATTTTAGCAGTTTAAAACAATATATAAGAATATACCCTACCTGACATAAGTCTTGTCGTCGATCCCAGTTGTAAGAGCAACAAATAAAACCTTGACTTTTAGTTGATCATTTGGAAAAGTGGCAGAAGGTGGATTTTTTTTGATGAATCATCTGTTGATCTGCATCCCAATCATCACAAATACTGCAGAAGACCTACTGGAATCCACATGGACCCAAGATTCTCACAGAAATCAGTCAAGTTGAAGGAAAAATCATGGTTTGGGCTTACATTCAGTATGGGGGTGTGTGAGAGATCTGCAGAGTGGATGATCAACATCAACAGCCTGAGGTATCAAGACATTTGTGCTGCCCATTACATTACAAACCACAGGAGAGGGTGAATTCTCCAGCAGGATAGCGCTCCTTCTCATACTTCAGCCTCCACAACAAAGTTCTTGAAAGCAAAGAAGGTGCTCCAGGATTGGCCAGCCCAGTCACCAGACATGAACATTATTGAGCAAGTCTGGGGTAAGACATAGGAGACATTAAAGATGAACCCAAAGAATATTGATGAACTCTGGGAGTCCTGCAAGAACGCTTTCTTTGCCATTCCAGATGCCACTGCATCATGACTTTATATTCTATACTGGACATTATTTCTGTTCAGTCACAAGACTTTTGTCTAAGCAAAGTCAGACCTTACTGTCCTAATGAAATAAGTAAAAATCAAGGCCTGATCATATTTTATTTTGGTCAAATAAGCGTAATCTAGAGGCTTTTGCCTTTCATATAAGCCACTTCTGATACCAAATGGTCAACTAGAAGTCAAGGTATTAATAGTTGTTCCTAAAACTTGGATAGACGACAAGACTTTAGTCAGGTAGTGTATTATACTACTCTATAAATACTGCCAATTTAGATTAATTTAATTCCCCTTTAAACAATAAAAGTATGAATTTTATACACCTTTTGAACAGTGGTCTATTAGAAAAAGCTATACGATAATAATAATGTGGCGCTATTTAAACATGTCAAATTTAGCATTGGAAAAATACAAACAATACAAAGAGAGCAGTTTTATTGGTGGTAGAATATACAGGATGCTATTAGGTGTAACAGGAAAAAACAATTTCCAGGAGACGGTAAACATTATCACACACACACACACACACACACACACACTTTCTCCCAAGTCAATAACGACATTCTGTAGAAAAACCACATTCACACACACACACACACACACTCTCTGACGGCCAGAGATCACAGCATATTCAGTCCTTGTGTTTGTTTTTGCTGTATATTGTTAGTTATTTTAGTGCATGTCTGGTTTGCTTTGAAAATATATGTCCTCATAACTGCCCTCTGCATGATTAGAGATTATACATCACGACTGTACACGTACATTTATACAGGTCATATCATACACATCGCAAAAGAATCAAGAACACAAGCCCCGCCCCTCTGTGACATCATCATTTGATCCAATAAACGCTCGGGTCAGTTTTATGCATCAATCCAAACACCAAAACAATACAAAATGGGTTTATAAATTAATATGGGAGGAAGAAACAAGGCTATAAAGGGTTTTGCATTTTGAAAATCAAGCATTTTATATATGAAAAATATTAAGAGGCCACTTGAAAACTTTCTCTGGATTATAATGATACATTTTCTTCCAAATTACACAAACATTGACATTTACAGAGGAGCCATATTTTATTACTTAACGTTGGTTTTACAGGGTCGACAGATTTATATAATTATTTGTGTGTAATTTCATGAAAAATATAATAAAAAGAAAAAAAAATCTGGATTATTTGATAAATATTAAACATTTAAAATCATAATATCTATAATGTGGTCATAAAGGGTAAATAAACACTATAAATGCTGCCAATTTAGATTTAATTAATTCACCTTTAAGCAATGAACGTATGAATTTCTTTTATTTTATGCACCTTTTGAACAGCGCTCATTTAGAAAAAAGCTAAACAATAATAATAATGTGGCACTTTTTAAATGTAAGATTTAGTAAATTTGCATGGTCGAGATATTTATATGTATTATACGAGTCATTTTTTTACAAACAATATACAGAAATAAAATCTGGATTATTTGATCGATATTCAGTTCAGAAAAACAGAAATGGAAAATTTTTGTAACATTTAGAATTATAATATCTGTAATGCACTCATAAACACTATAAATACTGACAACTTAGATTAAATTAATCCACCTTTAAGCAATGCAAGTATGAATTTCTTATTGCCAATCATTTTATGCATCTTTTGAACAGCGCCCTATTAGAAAAAAGCTAAATAATAATAATAATGTAAAATGTGGCAAATTTGCATGGTCGAAAAATGTATATCAATTAATTGTGTCATTTTATGAAAAAAAAAAAAAAAAAGTAAAAAGAAAAATAATCTGGATTATTTGATAAATGTTAAGTTCAGAAGAACAGAAATGGAATCCTTTTATAATTAATTTTATAATGATAATTTTTATAATGCACTCATAAACGCTATAAATGCTAGCAATTTAGATTCATTTAATCCCTCGATAAACATTGCAAATATGAATTCCTTAAAAAATAATAATTTTATGCACCTTTTGAACAGCGCTCTATTAGAAAAAAGCTAAACAATAACAATAACTTTATACTTTTTATGCACTTTTTATAGAATATAGCAAATTTGTATGCTTGAAATATTTATATATTTTTTAAATTTTTTTAAGAAAAACAAAAAAAATGGATTATTTCATCAGTACTAAGTTCAGACAAACAGAAATGGAATATTTTGTAACATTAAAAATTATAATATCTATAATGCGGTCATAAACACTATGACGACAACTTAAGATTCATTTAATCCCTCTTTAAGCAATGCAAGCATGAATTTCTCATCGCCAATCATTTTAAACACTTTTTGAACAGCGCTCTATTAGGAAAGAAAGCAAAACAATAATATTTAATAATAATATCTGTATAAATCGTTTTTTTTTTTTATCTCAAAAGTGAACTTGTGATGTCATTAACTACTGAACTACTAAATGTATCAGAATTTCTACTTGACCTTAATCTGGTTAAATGAATACTTGTAATTATAATTATGACTTTGTTGTTATTGCTTTGTTTTTGTCAATTTTAAGTTAGTGTTACTTCAACATCTCACTATAATTACCATCATTTTATTTTGAAATAATTAACAGGATTACATAATATTAAACTATCACGATTATCAGCTTTTCAAAATATCAATAAAAGTCTCATTTCAACATCAAAAGAGGTCTCATAATGTAATTCCAAAGCATAAATAAATGAAGAAAAAAACTAAATGAATCACAAAATATGGAAAACAGTTAATTTAGTCATATTTCAGTGTAAAAAATCAGTTTTTTAAAGAAATTCATACTTGCATCGTTTAAAAAGGGATTAAATGAATTTAAATTGGCAGAATTGATAGTGTTTATGATTGCATTATAGATATGATAATTATAAATGTTACAAAGGTTTCCATTTCTTATCTTCTGAACTTAATATTTATCAAATAATCCAGATTTTATTTATTTCTTATCTTTTTTGATTTTGATTATACATATTTGCTAAATTTTACATTATTGTTATTATTGTTTAGCTTTTTTCTAATAGAACGCTGTTCAAAAGGAGTGTAAAATTATCGATGTTGAAAAATTCATACTTGCATTGCTTAAAGGGGGATTAAATGAATCTAAATTGGCAGTATTTATAGCGTTTATGAGTGTATTATAGATATTATCATTTTAAATGTTACAAAATATTCAATTTTTGTTCTTCTAAACTTTATATTTATCAAATAATCCAGATTTGTATTTTTTTCTTTTGTTTTTTGCATAAAGTAACACAAAAACTAGTTATATTAATAATTCGACCATACAAATTTGCTAAATTTGACATTTTTTATTCATTATTGTTTAGCTTTTTTACTAATAGAGCGCTGTTCAAAAGGTGCATAAAATGATATTTTTTAGAAGAAATTCATACTTGCATTGGTTAAAGAGGGATTAAATGAAACTAAATTGGCAGAACTGATAGTTTTCATGAGTGTATTATAGAGGAATGTTAATTAAATGTTACAAAATATTCCATTTCTGTTCTTCTGAACTTAATATTTATCAAATAATCCTGATTATTTTATTTTATTGTTTGCATAAAATGACAATAATTATTTATATTAATATTTATATTATTAATTAATGTTTGAATTGGATTATAAGACCTTGATCTCTCTTCTTTTAATGTTGAAAAGGGACTTTTATCGACATTTTCAAAAGCTGAAAGTGATGATATTTAGTATAATATTACGGAAGACCGTTGATTATTTAAAAACATTATGGCAATTTAATGCATTGAAATGTTAAAGTGATGTAGCAATTTTTAAAGGTACAATTTAGCAAATTTGTATGGTCAAAAATTTTATATGAGTTATTCTGATGTCATTTTATGCAAAAAATAAAATAAAAAGAAATTAAAGCTCCAAAATGACGATATTTTTATTTTAAATTTGGAAGAAACGTCAGCAGTAGTTTACAGAATAAAACAAAAATCACAACTATATATTATATAAATCCAGCGAAATCGGCATTTTCCAAATGGCGTTTAATATTTTCCATAGCTACATATTAGCTACACGTAAAAAGTCCAAAATGCAAATTGCACATATAAAACAAGTCTGTCTGTTTATTAAAAAATAGCATGTCTTTGACAGATCTGGATGGAGGGGCTGTCAGCATTGCGACGGGAAACAATTACAATAAGGGTTGCGCACAAAACAATAGCAAAACGACACGAAAAAAACCCCAAACGAGTCCAAACATCTGGTTTATTCTTACATTATTGAATCAATATATACCATATAGTCCATAAATCAGTCCAAACGCACTCTCTTTTTAACCAATCAGTGAATATTCCTTATAAAACGCTTATAGATTGCACATGTCCGCCCGTTTCCCAATCATACGCTTTGCACAGTTTTAAAAGGGCGAATCGTAGGTTTAATGACCTCGCAAGGCCGAACGTTACGTCCGAGCGGACAAATAAACATCAGGCACAGTGTTTTAATATCAAATAAGTCCTCTCAGAGTGTGTCTTTCTGCACACACACGCAAACAGAAGATTTAGCTTTATATCACAGCGTTCGGGTCCTCCGTGAGTGTATGTTTATACTGAGTTTATCCCGCTTTTGAGTTAATAGTCATCTCTCCAGGGAAAATACTGTCAATGTCTCGGTTTACTGGTGCAAAATCGCCTTCAGGATCGCATAAAGAACTGAAAACGGCTTTGTGCGGGCTCCCAAGGATCTGCAGGAGGTTCGGGTCTCACCGTGAATGGTCTAGATCCAGGTTCTAGGTCTTCTCCTCTCGCTCCGTCCTGCGCCGCGAGATGTTTCGGGGTTTGATCTTGAGCGAGAGTTCCCATAATGCCTCCTCCGCCAGGTGATCGCTAAAGTCGTTGAAGAACGAGACGATGTCGTCGTTTCGCTTCAGGTCGTAGTGTCTGCAAAGAACGGCGGGATGAATGTTAATAATTAAAGCTATTTGTTAATTGGTAAAACTGGCAGCTGATATACTAAAAACTGGATAATTTAAAGCTTTTGTCAGCTAATTTCTGGGTTTAAAAAAATTATCAGGGCGGGATCAAAATCAGTAAAATCAAAACTGCAAGTGGAGTGATGACACGTCGGTTTCTCATTATTACTCATAAGCCTCTTTCACACAGTGATACCCGTAAATATCTGGAAAATTTCCGGAACGACTTTACCGGTATATTCAAAAAAGCACTGTTCACACAAGCGAGGACGTTACGGAAATTTTCCGCAAAAGAGCATTCACACATCCATTCCAAAATACCGGTAAATTCTGACATCATTCACCACAAATGAGCTTTAATCGGCTGCGCTTGTATTTGTAAACATTTGACTAAATTACAAACTCTGTGGATGATCAATATTGTGAACAACTTTCGCAGGATCACTTTCGCATGTCGAGATGTTCATAATATGTGCGTGTGCTGGCGCTCACAGGCTGTTTCATGGGCACACGCAAAGCTTGAAGGTAAACAAACAACGGCTTATCATAAGCATCTCATCGATGATTATTTACACAGTTGGCATTAAGAAGAACATATAAACGTGATCTGACTAACTTCTAGCAGCTAAATGTGTCTGGAAAAATATTCAAAGGCTTTTATTCTCACAAACCGCGCGGCCGTAAATGCGTCTGACTGTTGTGATTGGCTAAAGCAGACAGCTCACGTCAGCACGTTCTAGACGTGCACGCACTTATTACGGCAATCTTTCTTCTGCATTTACACAGCGCAGCATTCCGGCAAATTGCCGGTAATGTTACAACTTGTCTTTCCGGAAAATAGCCAGAACGAATTTACCGGTATTTTCAAAAAGGACCTGTTCACACATACAACCTACATACAAAGGTCCGTATGTGTGAAAGGGGCTATAGTGTACAAACTGGGGAACACATAAAATCCCACATTTTGAAAATAAACACACATGTGAAGTTCATAAAGATAAATTGGCCAGTTCAAATAAACATATTTATACTTCAGTAAACATAAATAAACCATCTTAATTATCTCAGTGCTGAAAAATACGAGACAGTAGTCTGTAACGCGGATCGAGTGCTTTTATAAGATGACAAAAGCCCACATCTCCCATCACCGAAAACGGCTGCAAATCTTTAGCAATAAACAACCGCACTGCCTTTCTCATTTTTATGTGTCTCTCGTAACCAGTGTGGTATGTTTGCTTGAAAGATTCAGCCAGAGATTGTTGCTGTTTGGAGGACTTTCTTACTTTCTCTGCTATTCTACCTTCAGACAGTGATATTGCTGGGTGATGGCGCTGCAGATGTGCAGTCATGGTTATACGTGTAAAACAATGCTTGCACACAGTTATTTTTTGTTCACGATTTTTTCTTTTATTGGCATTATGCTTACCGACAAAATCGAAACGTCCTCACACCGCAGATTTGAAAGACGCCGGCGCTTTCTCGTACTGTTGCCTCAGCCTCACTTCACAGCCGCTAGCAATGTTAAAGTGTGGAATGATGGTCAAGCTCCCCCTAACTTTAGAGCATAGTGATTGGATATTTACTCGCGGGAAGAAGTATCCTCATCTCAGCTCATGGATTTAGAGCAGGAATGGGCAAACTCAGGCTGCGTCCGAAACCGCATACTTCCATACTATTTAGTACGCTAAAACCAGTATGCAAACCGAGTAGTATGTCCGAATTCATAGAATTCGAAAATCAGTAGGCGAGAAGTTCCCGGATGACTTACTACTTCCGGCGAGATTGTGAAGTGCGCATACCATGCACGCTGCGCTATCCCATAATGCCCCGTGAGAGAATTCATGAATGGAAGTGAGGCGACGCAACTGACGCAGGTAGGTCACTTGACCATGAGAAAATGGTGGATGTAGTACGTCCGAATTCCATTCATACTTTTCACATTCATACTGTATAGAACACACTTTTCTAACGGCCGAGTAGTACGTTTAAATTCAAATGCAGTACCTACTGAGTAGTAGGCGGTTTCGGACACAGCCTCAGTCCTGGAGGGCCGGTGTCCTGCACAGTTTAACTCCAACTCTCATCAAACACACCTGCTTATAGATTTCTAGTGATCTTGAAGACACTGATTGGCATGTTCAGGTGTTTTTGATTAGAGTTGGAGCTAAACTATGCAGGACACCGGTCCTCCAGGACAGAGTTTGCCCACCCCTGATTTAGAGGCACACACAGTCAATTCGGGGAGATATGAAACGCACATGAATCATTTAAATTCAAAACCGAGAAAACCGCAATTCACAAGTACACATTGAACAGTGGAGGTCGTACCGAACGGTTCAATATTATATTGAGAACCGTGGCATCCCTAGTCATAACTAAGACATCCTTTGTATTTTTCTGTCATAATAAATGGTTTATCTAACAATAGTATCACAATTTCAGTTTGTTTCAATCTTCACAATCCTCATTTTCTCATAAATATATTAATTGATATAGTTCTTAATGTATCTTATAATAATAACTTGCATCTAAACTATTTCAAAGCTTAACAGGTTTTCTCTTCATAAAGACGTGTGTTTGATTTGCTCGCTTCATGGTTTATTGCTGTATAATAAATCAGCTTTATCGCCAGGAATCGAGTGTACTGTAATCTGCTGATCTGAGGTCAGTCAATCACTCACACTTGCTGGAAGCGTCTCATGCTGTCCAGAATGTTGAACTGCTGCCAGCGCTTGGAGAAATTCACTTTCCCCTCTATAAAATCCGGGTTTCCCAGATGAACAAACGTCAGATCCTGCAGGATCAAACCGCTGCAACAGGAAACAATATTAACTCAAATCAACGTGATTAATATAGCACACACATGAGATATGTACAGTGCATCCCGAAAGTATTCATAGCGCTTCACTTTTTACACATTTTTTTACGTTACAGCCTTATTCCAAAATGGATTTAATTCATTTATTTCCTCTAAATTCGACACACAATACACCATAATGACAAAATTATGTAAAAAATAATGTGAAAAAAAGTTTTTGAAAATGTTGCAAATTTATTACAAATAAAAAAAAAAACCTGAATAATCACATGTACATCAGTATTGACAGCCTTTGCCGTGAGGCTCTACATTGAGCTCTGGTACATTCTGTTTCCACTGATCATTTTACAGATGCTTCAGCAGTTTAATTGAACATGATTTGAAAAGGCATACACCTGCCTATATAAGGCCCCAGGGTTGACAGTGCATGTCAAAGCACAAAACAAGCATGAAGACAAAGGAAATGTCTGTAGACCTCCAAGACATGATTGTGGGGAAGGCTGGGGAAGGTTACAGAAAAATTTCTGCTGCTCTGAAAGATCCAATGAGCACAGCGGCCTCCATCATCCATAAGTGGAAGATGTTTGGAACCACCAGGACTCTTCCTAGAGCTGGCCGGCCATCTAAGCTGAGTGATCGGGGGAGAAGAGCCTTAATCAGGGAGGTGATCAATAACCCAATGGTCAATCTGTCTAAGCTCCAGTATTCTTCTGTGGAGAGAGGAGAACCTTACAGGAGGACAACCATCTGTGCAGCAATCCACCAATCAGGCCTGTACGGTAGAGTGGCCAGACGGAAGCCACTCGTCACCTGGAATTTGCCAAAAGGTATCTGAAAGACTCTCAGACCTTAAGAAACAAATTCTCTGGTCTGATGAGACTAAAATTGAACTCTTTGGAGTGAATGCCAGGCGTTACGTTTGGAGAAAACCAGGCGCCGCTCATCACCAGGCTAATACCATGCCTACAGTGAAGCATCATGCTGTGGGGATGTTTTTAGCAGCAGGAACTGGAAGACTAGTCAGGATAGAGGGAAATATGAATGCAGCAATGTACAGAGACATCCTGAATGAAAACCTGCTTCAGAGTGCTCTTGACCTCAGACTGGGGCGACGGTTCATCTTCCAGCAGGACAATGACCCAAAGCACACTGCCAAAATATCAATGGAGTGGCTTCACAACAACTTGGTGAAAGTCCTTGAGTGGCCCAGCCAGAGCCCAGATCTAAATCCTATTGAACATCCCTGGAGAGATCTGAAAATGGCTGTACACCGCCGCTTCCCATCCAACCCGATAGAGATTGAGAGGTACTGCAAAGAGGAATGGGCAAAAATTCCCAAAGACAGGTGTGCCAAGCTTGTGGCATCATATTCAAAAACACTTGAGGCTGTAATTGCGGCCAAAGGTGCATCAACAAAGTATTGAGCAAAGGCTGTGATCACTGATGTACATGTGATTTTGCAGGTTTTTAATTTTTAATAAATTTGTAGCAATTTCAAAAACTCTTTTTCTCATTGTCATTATGGGGGATTGTGTATCGAATTTTGAGGAAATAAATGAATTTAATCAATTTTGGAATAAGGCTGTAACGTAAATAAAAATGTGGAAAAAGTGAAGCGCTATGAATACCTTCTGAATGCACTGTACATTCACACACACAATATATATATATATATATATATATATATATACACACACACACACACACACACACACACACATACATTAGCCATATGACACTTATATTTGTCTTGGGACAATTTTAAAAACATTTTTGATTAACTTCAAATGTTGATTATATATATATATATATATATATATATATATATATATATATATATATATATATATATATATATGCACACACATATACTAAGACTCAATTATAATTAGACTAAATTACGTCAAAACGTTCTAATTACACCAGATATTCCTGCGGTAAGCAGGATGAGGCTGTAAAAAATGAAATGACTTATTTGCTTCAGTTGGTATTACATTTCAACTCATTTGTTCTGGTTTTAAGATGTTATGATATCCACCCACAGACTTACAGGTAAGGTATACATGGAGGCTCAACTTCCGCCAACGCTGCTCTGTATGCTCTGAATGACGAAGAGCTGTCGATGAGAGTGCAGTATTCCTCCAAACCCTGCGGAGGAACACATAATACAGCATACAGTCTTTCTGTATTCTCTGATCAATGGTCATGTTAGCATTAGCGGTGATATGTGACTGACCTCAGACGTCTGTTTCTGCCACTCCAGCCGTCTGATCGGTGCAGAGTCCAGAGCCGAGAGAATCGCCAGGTAAGAGTTGAAGTTATTCAGCTTACGCAAGTGCTACAAATCACATCAAGACGTTAGAAAACTTTCTTGAATGTATTTAGAGAAATCTGATAGAACAATACTAACATGTTAACAGAGTTAATTTGTTTTAATACTTATAAAAAATTGTATGTTTCTTTTTATATTTTAGTTTGTTTACATGTTTTAGCATATAGCTAGCATGTTTTAGAACTTTGCCATTAACGCTTTGCTACTATTTTTCAACTAGTGCCTAATGTGTTTTAGCATGTGGCTAGCATGTTTTTGAGCTTTTGCCATTATATTTTAATGTTTGCAGCATTTTATATTTGCCTCGCATGTTTTAAACTGTTGCTAGCATATTTTAATGTGTTGTTGACATTTTTAAACAATGATAACATGTTAATGTGTTGTAATTCACCAACTGCACATCGCTTGTACAGTTATTACTTTACATTTTCACGTTGCTAACATAGTTTAGCATGTGGCTAACATGTTTTTGAACTTTGCCATTATATTATAATGTGTGCTAGCATATCTTATGTGGCTTCTAATGTGTTTATAACATGTTTTAAACAATGTAACCTGTTAACACAAATGTTTTTAAATACATCAATAGCACATTGCTTGCTTATTGTTTATTTTATATTATATTTTCATATTGCTTGCATGTTTTAGCCTGTGACTGGCATGTTTTAGAACTTTGTCATTATGTTTAAACATTTTACTAGCACTTTTTTTTTACACGTGTGGCTTATAGGGTTTAAAATGTTGCTAGCCCGTTTCAACATGCTCCTAACATGTTTACAACGTTATTTTAAACAATGGTCACATGTCTAACATGTTTTATTACAGAAATATGTGTATACATGTGTATTTGTTTATTTTATATTTTGCTAATGTTTTAGCATGTGGCTAGCATGTTTTAGAATTATGCCATTATGTGCTTTGGTAGTGCTTTTTACCATGTGTCAAACGTTTTAGAAGCTGCTAGCATGTTTTAACACATTTCTAAATTTATTATGTTATTTTAAGTCAACTAAAGCCAATCAGATGTTTTTCGAGGTTTGATTAGCATTTGTAGTTAAGCCATAAATATTATAGTTAAAAATATATAAGTTATGGTGGTCAGAAATTTTAGTCACAGAATAGAAATTGATTCTTGCTTTCTCAAGCCAACCACTCTGAAAATAAAAAAGAACTACATAAAGGTTTAATCTTTATACAAGCACAAGTTAATTTACTTTTTAATTTAACTTACCTTCATGATTTTGATGAATTTGAGCAGTAGCTTCTCTCTGTCCTGAGCTTTCTCCTGCTGGATGATTATAGAGCGCACCCTAGTGGATGGGAGGAATTACACAAACAAAATTAGTTATAAATATAAATATTAAAAATAATGATCCGCTTCCACTGAGTAGTACTGTACAGTACGGTAAGCTTTTATGGCCATTTTCACGGTCAAAAGGTACCTAAAAGTGAACCGTACCGTACCACTTTTTGGGTAGCTAGCACAACAAAAGTGTACCAAAAGGCGGAGCTAGACACGCAGCTGAACTCTGTTGGCTTACAGAGAATCGTCACTTGCTCGTTCAACAAGCCAGGAGAATAAAAACAAAGGAACCGCCCCCTTTTAAAAAACACAGCCGAGACATTACACCGTAATAATATATACATTTAATAATGAGCCAAGGTCAACCCGAGCTTAAACAAACCTTGTCATCTTTTTTTAATGAACAGCCACAAAGCCAAGAAGAACAAAATCTGCCATGTCCTGTTTTTGTTTTATGAGGCCGTCTAAATGTTAGAGCTATTTCACTTTCTCCAGAGAGCTCGCGATCGCTCGTGTGCGCATGTGTATTTGAAATAACGAACTTCTTGAGCTGATGACAATAACGTGTGCGTGATTGTTGAAGTGTTTCCGACACCAGATCCTTTCAGAAACGGACGAACACAAGAGTGCGAAAAAACTAAAACAAAGGAGCAAATGATTCCTTCAGCAACCTAAAACACGATCAAACTGCCATGTTTATCATCATCTTTTGGACTATTATGAACTCGGAATGATGGAATTACTCTCTGAGAGAGGCTACATGTGCTGTAGAAGATTAAAGATGCAGATGAGAGGTTTGCACTGACTGTGAGGTATATGTTGTGTGTTGTTTTTGAACCTAAATAAGGACTAAATGTCTGTTGTGTGTAGTTGTTCTGTAATTAGTAAGATATCAAAGACTGTAAGAGTCTGTATGTGTTCATATATGTCACATTTATTCATTTATTCAATATAATTGCAGACATTACAGTAGGCTATTTAGCACTGTCATTAATCTGCAGATAGAAAAGTTAGTAATGAACAATAATACAAAAGTATTTATGTGTATAAAGCATCTGTTTTGCGAGAAGTGCTTCTCATATAATGTGAACAACCCGTACAGCTTTACTGTAGACGTTTCCTCGAGCGAAAATGACGTCGTCTGAAACTTTCTGTCGTACCATTGGTACCCTTTTGGCAGTGGAAATGAAAGCCTTATTAAGGTGACCCGTACAGACCTAACGTACTGTACCACTCAGTGGAAGTGGCCCATAAAGGGTTCTACTTTCAACAACTAATTATGCAAATAAATGAATTAAACGCATTTATAAATCTAGAAGATACTTTTAACTAAAGCCTCTTGCAAATGAAGATTAAATAAGCACTTCAAACCCCCAGAGAGCAGGAATATATTAAGTTAGTTTAGGTTAATGAATTTTAATTTGCATTGCAGTATCAGATTAGTCAAATATCCAATATTAGCTGAATATTGACAAAATATCAAAACAAAAGACCTGCTCTTAACGCATTAAATGAACAATAAAAAAAGAATAATTATAGCAAACAAGTGTTGGACAAAATATCGTATAGACACACCAGTAGCTCATGTTGTTAAAGTGCTCTGTAAACTGTGTCAGATTTGGACTTTTCTCTTCGTTCTGCTCCTTTGCCCAAAGCAGGACTTCAGGAATCTGAAGACAAAAAAGAAAAGAGTGATGACTTGAACATTTTCACATATGCAAATGTGAAAATCATTTTCCCCAAACCATTTGAAATAAAGCAGCGCCTGTGCATTACCTCAATCTTGTAAAAGAGTTCTGCGTCCAGCAACGTTAGCTGATCGGCGATCTCATGACTGCGGAAATCATGCAGTGTTCCTGGCCTTCGGAGAAACAGACAGCAGTTAAACACCAATTATGTACTACAGTATATCTACGTACTGTAGTAAATATGTACAGTTGAAACCAGAAGTTTACATACACTCTAAAAAAAAAGGGACATAACACTTTTTTTTAAAATGTCTGACGTTAAATCTAAACGTCGTTCTAAACATTTACTATTTTAGGTCCGTTAGGATTACCTAAATCATTTACATTTGCTACATGCCAGAATAATGAGAGAATTTTTGATTAATTTCTAGACAGTCTAAAGTTTACACACATTTCCTTGGTATTTTTTGACTTTGCTTTTAATCTGTATACTTTGGTCAAATGTTTTGGGTGTCCTTCCACAAGCTTCTCACAATAGTTTAAAGGAATTTCGGCCCATTTCTCCTGACAGAATTAGTGTAACAGAGTCAGATTTGTTGGCTGTCTTGCTCACACAAGCTTTTTCAACTCTGCCCACAAATTTTCTATAGGATTGAAATCAGGGCTTTGTGATGGCCACTCCAAAACATTCACTCTGTTGTGCTTAAAGCACATTTTAACTAAATCGGCAGTATGCTTAGAATCATGGTCTGTTTGGAAGACCCATTTGTGGCCAAGTTTAAATTTCCTGGCTGATGTCTTGAGATGTTGCTTCAGTATTTCTACATAATTTTTTTTCCTCGTGATGCCATCTATGCTGTGAAGCTGACCAGTCCCTCCTGCAGCAAAACAGCCCCACAACATGATGCTGCCACCCCCATACTTCACAGTTGGGATGGTGTTCCTAGGCTTGTGCGCTTTCCCCTTTGTCCTCCAAATGTAACACTGGTCATTATGGCCAAACAGTTCAATCTTAGTTCCATCAGAGCACAGGACATGTCTCCAAAAATTACTCTTTCACCAGTGGAATTTAGCAAATTGTAATCTGGCTTTTTTGTTGATTCTGGCTTGTTGATTTTCCCATGTTGTCACACAAGGAAGCAGTGTGTTTGAGGTTTTCCTTAAATACTATTCTACAGTTGTGCCTCCAATTAACTCAAATGTTGTCAATTAGCCAATCAGAAACTTCCATATCAGAATAAACTTGACTTTCAAGAAAAGTTATAACAATTTCTTAAAAAAAACATCTCTCTCATTATTCTGCTATTAGGCATAAACAAATGTGATAATTCTAACTTACCTAAAAGAGAACAAGTTTAGTCACATTAAAATCTGACTTTTTTTAAAATGGTTGTGCCTTTTTATACAGTGCATGTAAACTTCTGCTTTCAACTGTACATTACTGTTATAGTATTACTATACTGATGATGAATTTTCACTTCATGCCATGACATGTAATGCATTTAAAGAATTAATAAACTATTATGGCTCAAAACAATGTTATGTGTAAATGTTTATATTTTGTGTCAAGTAGTGGTGTATTAAGTGGAATAAATCAGAACCAGGATGCTGTTTTCTCAGAATAAAGACCTTAAGTCTTAAACAACAGTGCTGCGCATCATGTCCAGCTGCTGAGAGGCCTGTCAGTCTTTATTCTGTGATGATAACCTCTTGAAAGTACTTTATTCTTTACATATTGACCGCTGTGCATGGCCTTTACCTGGCAGAGACGCCGAGTGCCGCCAGAGGCCTGAGTGTGTGCATGTGCTGCAGGAGTCTCTTCTGCTCCACTTTATCCAGGATATTTTTCCGCAGGACTCTCGCCAGACTCAGTTCACCGTTACAGACCAGCCGAAACACCAGATCCATCAACTGCCGCAGGATGTCCTCGGTCAACTCTACCAGACTGACACATAACACAAAAAAAAAGTCCAGCTGCAACCTTCTTTTTTTTTAAACAACGAAATCCAAAAGCGGAAAGTCGAAAGCCCTCGAAAAGTCAGTAAAAAAAAAAGCCTTTATTAACACATGGCTATTTTTTTGACATTATTAACATGGCTATTAAGAGTTGGTCTTGCTGTTTTAATGATGTCAAAATGATCAAACTGATGAATAGTGAGAGTAAACCCATTTGTACTGTGATGATTCACATGGGGCTTCAGCGTCAACGCTTGACAGAGGGCGTGTCTGAATTTGGGGTGAACGCAATCGTCATAGCAGCATCAGCCAATGAAATTAGTCAGCAAACGGCTATGGTCTGAGCTGGGGTATTTGTATTAAGCAATTTGATTGGCTGACGCTTCAGTTGGTGTTTTAAAAGTTGAGAAATTCCCAACTTTTGCAGCGAGCAACGACATTGAAGCGGTGCAGAAGGATCCACAATAGAGTGGAGGATCTATGATGTCAATTTGTATGCAAAAACCCGGAAGCGAGTTGGCATTTTAGCAGTTCCGGTTCCCTTGTCCCAAAGTCAGAGTTTTTTTTTCAATGGGATTTCAGTAGAGGTGTGAACCTATACTGGTCTCATGGTTCGGTTACGATTATCATGCCTTCAATTCGGTTTAATTTGATATCTCGAAAAAAGAAAAGAAAGACAGCTGTGAAACATAACCAGCTTTGTCTTTTTGTAGAAAACACACTTTAGATCTTTTTAGTTTAAGAGGTTTTTGAGTTATTGCCGTCTATAACTGAATGTGTGTCAGGAAAATCGAAAACAAAACCAACTGAACCGCGCTCATTTCTGGCGCCCCCCTGGATGTACAGTGCCCTTAGCATATGCCTAGGGTGCCTATGCCACGGGCCGGCCCTGAGTTGCCTGAGTGTTGTAAATACTAGCGCTCACCTCCCTCGCGACAGAGCGCATAGGAGATAAATGACGTCAGTTCATAATAACCGTTTATGATTATTACTGAACCGATAAAGAATTGTCCGCGTCTGCATCACGGTGCACCGAAGAAACAATTCATTTTGACACCCCTAGATTTCAGTAAAATTGCTTAAATAAGGTCCGTGTCTGACAGAAACTCAAGATACTTTCACGTTTCACTCTACCACATAAAACACATCAGTTACAGCACACTCTTGATTTTTTAAATCAGTTGCCCTTCTTTAAAAATACAGTTGCTATCAAGTTTCTAAATGGGACTACAGGCGGTGTCGAAGGCATTGGAGCTGGAGCTGGTCTCATTTGTGTTGGGTATTTGGATTTGTCGGTGATCTAGTGTAAACGGGGCCTTAGCCTGACTGTAATAATTAGTAGTAGGAATCCACTTATAAAAGCGTGCATTTACTCACCAAAGTTCATCCACGACTCTCACCAGGACAAAGAAGGTGTTTTTACTGACACGCTTCTTAAAGGTGTCTGGACTGTGGCAGAAGCGAGTATATGTACAGAGAAGTTAAGAAAAAAAAACACAATATGTTTCCATTTCCTTTGTTTCCATTCAAACATGCAAATTAAAAGTATGCGCTTAACAGAATTAACGTTTATAAGTCGTGCGAATATAGCGGCGTTTCCATCAAACAAGTCAAAGAGAACAAAACAGTCCCTTCCTGATTAATTGGCGCCAAATATCAACAGTAAAAACAGAATTTGCTGTGGTGGGAGAAGCTGTTTCAATCTTTTCTTCATTTAATAAATGACTTGCGCCTCAGAAGACAATGCTGACACACAATACTGCATTTGACACCATTGACCATGGTATCCTCAGAGCGCTTCAATTCTACAGGTGTCCAGGGACAAGCTCTACAATGGTTTAAGTCATACTTAGCTAACCATTACCAATAGGAAAGCTTTCACAAGTCAAGCCAGTAAGGTATGAGGTGCCTCAAGGATCAGTTTGAGGCCCTTTGCTGTTTACAACATACATGCTACTCCTGGGAGACATTATTAGAAGACACTGGATCAGTTTTCACTGCTATGCTGATGATACTCGGTTGTATATTTCCTGAACCTGATGAGATGTCTAAACTGTCTAAGGTGAGTGTATAAAAGAGGTTAAAGACTGGATGACCAACAATTTTCTTCTCCTAAACTCAATCAACACAGAATTATTACTTTTTGGGCCTAAATCCTGTACACGGCAGATCCAACAACTCGACCTACAATCTAAGGGATACAAAGTTAGCGTTAACTCTACTATAAAAGATCTGGGTGTTATATTAGACAGCAATTTAACTTTTAAAAATCATATATCCCATGTCACAAAAATTACATTCTTTCTGAGAAATATCGCTAAGTTAGGAAGTATGCTATCCATCTCAGATGCAGAAAAGCTAGTCCATGCTTTTATGACTTTTCGGCTGGATTACTGTAATGCTGTTTGCTGGCTACCCAGCATCCTCTATTAACAAACTTCAGCTAGTACAAAATGCAGCTGCCTAAGTTCTTACCAGGTCTAGAAAATATGATCATATAACCCCAAATTTATCCTCCTTCCACTGGCTGCCTGTTAAGTTTCGTATTGAATTTAAAATATTACTTCTCACCTATACAGCTCTAAATAATCTAGCTCCTGTTTATCTAACCAACCTTCTGTCTCGCTACAATCCAACTCGCTCTTTAAGATCTCAAAACTCAGGGCTTCTGGTAGTACCTAGAATAGCAAAGTCTACTAAAGGAGGTCGAGCCTTCTCCTTTATGGCTCCTACACTCTGGAATAGCCTTCCTGATAACGTTCGAGGCTCAGACACACTCTCCCAATTCAAAACTAGATTAAAGACCTATCTGTTTAGTAAAGCATACACTCGATGCATAGCATAACGGTATGATGGATGAATGTGCCCCACACAGGTGAGTGGGCTTGACAACCAAATGTAGGACACACTCCTCCTGTCTTAATGCACCAGACTAATGCTTCTTATGCTTTACACGTTTGTTTCTATATTTGTTTATATAACTGCTATTTTTTATTTATAACACTTCATTTTTGCATTTCATTTATATACACTATGAACAGCAGATATGCTAATTATTCTCCTTATTCTCTATTTCCACCTGGGGATACTCATCTTAAGGCCCCCAGAGATTATGCAGCGCCATTGATGCGATCCAAGACCTGGGAAGAAATTATGCCAAGGTATCCATAATCCTGGACCAGGCCGTATCCTGAGCAGATGCTGTGGTGGTCATGGAGGAGTGGAGATCGTGAGACTGATTCTTGAAAGACCACAGTGACAGACAAGTCTCCGCACTGATCCTGTGAGCCAGCCTGAACACCCGCCGGTGACCTACTCACACTTGCAGTTCTACTAGATGGACGACCAGGGTTCTTCAGCCTCCGGCGTCTAGACTGCAGCTCTGCACAAGACGTTTGGCCAGAGGAGAAAAGGTCGCGTCTAACTGAACCTGGTTTCTCTCAAAGTTTTTTCCTTGACAATCGTCAATTGGTGAAGTTTGTTCCTCGCCACTGTCGTCACTGGCTTGCTTGGTTTGGTACTTGTGGAGCTGCGCATCAATGGATTTGCTCTTCAGTGTTTGAACTTTCACCAGTGAAATTAAACCACACTGAACTGAACTTCAAGTCTGAAAACTGGACTGACACTGATTCAATCTACTAGAACTTCCATGTGAAGCTGCTGTGACACAATCTACATTGTAAAAGTGCTAGAGAAATAAAGATAAATTACATTTTATAGCACACTAGCTTATCAATGTCCCTGAGGACCTTTAAGAAAACTAAAACAACAAAAAATACTATGCCATGTGCAAAAACAGGCAGATTTACAGCTGAAAGGATATCTGTGGTGTAGCTTTTTAATGAGGTCTTCTGGTGTTATGAAGGTTCTGTAGGTTGTGAGAAACGCCTCGCAGTACAACACCAAATCTACAACACACACAGAAAAAACAACACACAATTCAAACACAGAGCAAACGTTCATCACAATAACACTGCAGGAGTGGATCAATCCAAACATAACTGCATAATAAAGAGAACATGCGGGATGGGGTTTACCTTTGCGGTCTGTTTCTGTAGCGTGAACTAACAGTATGTCTACAGATCCAGCTCTCACATCAGGACCATCATCATTCTGAGAGAGGGAGAGAGAGGGAGAGAGAGGGAGAGAGAGAGAGAGTTATTACTGCAGCTCACAGAATTCCAGCAGTCATCGCAGCACTGCACCAGCTGACGAAGTGTGTGTGTGTGTGTCTGGCATCAACCACGACAGAATGAAGCCTGGTTTATACCTCTGCGTCAAGTGACCAGCGTAACCCACGGCGCATGCAACGCGTGTAGCTGTGCATTTATACTTCTGCGCGATGTGTCTGTTGGTCTGCATTAACACTTCCGAAACGCTAGTTGGCAGTGAAGCCGGATTTATACTGGCCATCGCCGTCACTGACGTGCACCTCTCAAAAATTGTAACTACACGTTGCAACGACGCGTAGCGTAAGCTCTGTGATTGGTCGGCTTGGTAGCGCTGACGAGTCTGGGCGGGACCGAGAGCCGCGCGAATGGTGCGAGCGATTGTTTACAAGTGTGGAGTCCCGTGAAGGAGCTCCGGATGCAAAGTTTTGTTTTGTGTTTACCTCATAGTTTAAGTTGTTGAACGTCCGCCGGTTCCTGCCTCAAAATGAGCGAGTTTGAGCCACTTGTACATCCCGGAAGTGTTCAGGAAAAGCAAAAAAGCAGAGAAGAAACTCGACAAAGAGGAACATTTACACCTCACTGCCAACTAGCGTTTCGGAAGTGTTAATGCAGACCGACAGAGACAGCGCGCAGAAGTATAAATGCACAGCCACGCGCGTTGCATGCGCCGTGGGTTACGCCGGTCACCTGACGCAGAAGTATAAATCAGGCTTGAGGTGTAAATGTTCCTCTGTGTCGAGTTTCTTCACTGCTGTTTTGCTTTTCCTGAACACTTCCTGAATGTACTGAATGTGGCTCATCTCGCTCATTTTGAGGCAGGAACACGCGGATATGCAACAACTTTAATTATGAGGTAAACACAAAACAAAACTTTCCATCCGGAGCTCCTTCACGGGACTCCACACTTGTAAACAATCGCTCCATCGGGCTCGAGCCGCTTGCGCAGCTCTCGGTCCCGCCCAGACTCGTCAGCGCTACCAAGCTGACCAATCACAGAGCTTGCACTACGGGTCGCTGCCACGTGTATTTACATCTTTTGAGAGGGGCACTTCAGTGACGCCGACGGCCGGGGCTGAGGGCTATGCGTCAACGCATAGGGTGCGCCGTAGCATACGCGTGAATCAGCCTTTACCCTCTAAACACTGTAGGCAAACAGCTGTGACTTAGGCCGTGTCCACACAAACGCAGATATTTTCAAAACTGCACAATTTCAGAGTATGTGATTGGCCAAGGACATAATAGAAGTCAAGACATCTAACCTATATTCGAGAATGCAGATACTTGTTTTCCATGACTTTTCCAACCTTTCCAGGCCTGGAAAATGCCCTGTCAAAATTCCATACCTTTTCCAAGTTTTCCATGACCGTATGAACCCTGACTATTAATTTTTGCTTTCATGCAAATCCTTTTACTGCATTACTATACTTTGGTGTGTAAACATTAAATATGGGAGATCATGTTATAAAATACATATTTTTAGCGCGGATGTATACCTGACTGGTGAGCCATATAACAAAAAAGTGCCCTTCTGAATCTTTTACTTACTTCGAAGACACTACTGACCCCGCTTACATAGACATCTGTATTTTGTTATTTCGTTATTTGCTTAATAGACAATACTATAGTCCAAGTGTTTACATGAAGTGCTTTTATGTAAGAGTTTCCTGTAGGTAGAGTGTGTGCGGTCCTTTACTGACAGCCGTGTGTGTGGATCTTGTGGGAAAATATGGCAAAAAGTCCTACATGACGGTAATATTTTGATTGCATTGTTTACTTCAATAATGTCACTAATATCTGCATACTCCACATTTTAATTCTATTTCTGTTCAGTTCAATAATAACTTTAGTCACATTTAGGTGATTAAAAATCGCTGTTTGGAGCTTATGTAGGCCTACAGTTCAACATTCATGTTTACTGAATAAACAGTGAGTAAACACAAGCACATCTTATTGAACATCATTTATTTTCATCACCAATTATCATAGTAGAACAGTTTCTCAAGCAGTTTGTGATGCATTTTGGAAACAGGAGATGAGCCCCTGGTCTAATGCGCCACCTGGCTTGAGAAACCCATTCTGGAAGACTTACTTCAGTCATTATTTGGGTAGCACACATATTCTGAATGCCTTCGGCAGAATTCAAATGAGCCATTTTAATCTAGATTAATTCCAAGATTACAGTGAGATTTATCTAGATTTTTAAAAAATTATATATGCCCACCTTTATTAAAAACACACGCATAATGAAATATCTGCATGCACAAATAAATGCATGGATAAATAAACAAATGTATCAATAAATGCAATTTATGAACAAATATATAAATCCAGAGGGTGGCACGGTGGCTCAGTGGTTAGCACTGTCGACACAGCAAGAACGTCGCTGCTTTGAGTCCCAGCTGGGTCAGTTGGCACTTCTGCGTTGAGTTTGCATGTTCTCCCTGTGTTGACGTGTGTTTCCTCTGGGTGCTTCGGTTTCTCCCACAGTCCAAACACATGTGCTACAGGAGAATTGGGTAAACAAAATTGGCCATAGTGTATGTGGTTGAATGTGACAGTATACGGGTGTTTCCCAGCACTGGGTTGTGGCTGGAAAGGCATCCGTTGCGTAAAACTTATGCTGGAGTCGGCACAATAGCCCAGTGGTTAGCGCATCGACATATGGTGCAACAGCACGTCAGGGTGTCCCATGTTCGAATCCCGACTCGAGGACATTTCCCTACCTCACCCCCTTCTCTCTCTCCAACTTCGCTTCCTTTCTAAATACTCTCCTAACAAAGGTAAAAAAGCAAAAAATAAATCTTTACAAAAAAAAAAAAATAAAAAAAAAAAATAAATAAAAACTTATGCTGGAAAAGTTGGTGGTTCATTCTGCTGTGGCTACCCCTGATAAATCAGGGACTGACCCGAAGGAAAATAAATAATGAATATGTAACCCAGTAGAATGAAGTTCTACAAGTTAAGTTTTAAAGTAATCTTAAGGTTATTTATTTATTTTTTGTCTATCTATTTATTTATTTATTTATTTATTCATATTGGTTCTAGAACAGAATTAAATCTAAAATGTGTTTTGCATTCATTTGTGTATATATACATCCTAATGTTGATGTGTAATATATGAGCGTCTATCTCTGAGAATATGATAAGATAGCAAGTTTGATCAACCTTCACTGAAATACATGGGGTTAACAAGTTTGGTATGTGTTCCTACATGATTGGTTTATATGCGTGTAGTCCCGCCCTCTGGTGTGGAGTGTGAAATGTGATTGGCTGTTGGGAAGAGAGAGCGGAGAGAGGAGGAACAGCCGGCAGTTTTGGAAACTGAAGGGGAGACTCGCGTCGCGGCTGTTATGATTGCGTAACATTCACAGAGTTTATTTCTGGTAATTTATTCAAACACAGCAAATATTTATATTCTCATCTGCCTTATTTACATTACGTCATTGAAATATATCAGAGGGGCCTACTTCAACATATCTGTAGGCGTTTAGTGTATTGAACCTGGAGCGCTATCTTAAACTTAATACACCTAGGTGGCGCTACAAATAAATTAAAGTAATAAATGAATAAATGAATGTATTGAATCACTCTGTGAATCTAAAAGTCTTGCACACTTTATAAAGCATTAAAAAGCCTCATTACCTCTGCTTTGAGTGTGATGCGGTTCATGATGTCATTATGATCAATCAGGGATAATTCATCCACATCATCAATGTGGCCGTGACTGGCTTCCTTCGGCCTGTAAGTGAGAGAAAACACAATTACACACCTCAGATCATCTTGAAATACAGAACACATACACACACACACACTTTATACCTCTCCTTAGTCAGAGCCTCCTTGCTATTGGACGAGGGAATGTGAGGGGAGTGGTCTTGAAGCACATCGTCACATGATAAAGATTCCTGAAAAGTTCAAACACACGATTAGTTAAACCACACCACACACACACACACACACACACACACACACACACACACACACACACAACAGAGTGAAGAGTGTATTCTTACAGTGCGGTGTGTGTTTTCTCCGTTGGCCTGTGTGGACGAGTACAGGTTTACATATTCTCCTTCACCACTTTCATCAATGCTTTCGCTCTACAGGAAAAACAACAGGGATAAATGTCACTCGTCGGTCGAACGTTCACGATCAAACACTGTGTTCAAGTTCATTGCAGCATTCAGTAGAAAATAAAAAAACATTAATGATAGTTAAATGCACTAAAAGGTTCACATTCAGCAAGTTTTATATTTTTTTGCTTTTATGCAAATGCTTTTACTGCACTATTATACTTTGGTATGGGAGATAATTAATTAATTAATAAATAAGCTAACAAGTAATTAAATGAGCAAAAAAAAATTATAAGCAAATAAATAAATAAGACAAATTGATAAGATATAAACAAATAAAATATATAAATAATATATAATAATATAATTAAACCAACTCAAATGCAATCAGCTACATAAATGCTTTTTTGTTTGTTTGTTTGTTTGTTTGCTTTATGCGAATGCTTTCACTGCAATATGATTTTTGATCTGTAAACATAATATAGATGATATAAACAAATTAATTAATAAGCAAATAGATAAGCAAATAAATAATTAAGCAAATAAGACAAATTGATAAAACATAAATAAGACAAATAGATGAAAATATTAACAAATAAATAATTAAGCAAATAAATAGGACAAATAGACAAAATATAAAGACAAATAGCTGAAAATATAAACAAATAAATAAGCAAATTAAAAAGTCAAATAGCTGAAAATATCATTAAAAAATAAAAACATATGTAAATGATAAATAAATATTATCACTGCAATATGATATTTTGGTCTGTAAACATAATACAGATGATAAAAATATGAATGAATTAATAAGCAAATAGATAAGCAAATAAAGGAAATAAGACAAATTGATAACATAAATCAATGAATAAGACAAATAGATGAAAATATAAACAAATAAACAAGCCAATAAATAATACAAATAGAAAAATATAAATAATCAAATAATGTAAATAATATATAATAATAAATAAACATAATTAAATTAACCCAAATGCATTTCATAACATTAATGTTTTTTAGATTATTTGTTTGTTTGTTTTCTTGCTTTTATGCAAATGCTCTCACTGCAATGATATTTTTGTCTGTAAACATAATATAGATGATACAAATATGAATTAATTCATAAGCAAAGTAAATAAATAATTAAGCAAATAAATCAAATAAATTGGACAAATTGATAAAATATAGATAATGAATAATTAAGCAAATACATAAATAAGACAAACAGCTGACCATTTTAACAAATAAACAAGGCAAAAACATACAATTTAAATAAATAAATAAATTAGGACAAATAGCTGAAAAAATTAACAAAAAAATTATAAGCAAATAAATAAGACAAAATGATAAAATAAAAATAAATAAATAAAGACAAATAGATAAAAAATAAATAAGACAAATAGATAAAAAACAAACAAATAAATAAATAAGCAAATAAAAAAATAAGAAAAATAGATGCGTAAATATGAACTAAATTAAACATCAAAGCTTTTCTGATTTTTGTTATTTGCTCAGGTAACATTTTTCTTCTTTTTTTTAATTTAATTTAAACAGAAAAACTTTTAATAAGCTTTATAATCTGAAAATCTAAAGCTCAACTAAAATTCATGACTAAAACATCAATAAAAACATGTTTGCATGAATTAAAATATATAAACAAAAAAAAAAACAATTTCATTTACTTCATTTCTGAAGTAACATTTTTCATATAAAGCACCTGTAGTAAAATAACAAAGTACTAAAAGATAAACTTAAAATACCACAAAGAAAAACACTATATATATATACAACCTTCCTTTAAAAAAAGAAAAAGCAAAGCTCTGCTTTTCCCCTCAGAAAAAAACAGACTTCATCTTTTACTCTGACCACGTTTATAATACACAGAAATTGTGTTTTGCATCTTCTGAGCACTAGATGGCGCTATAAACACACTTTTTAATGATCGCACACAACTCTTCCTTCATAAATACTCCAAAAAAAAAAAAAGCGCCCATGACACAAGCATATTTAAAAGTATAATTCTAGTTATAGGATTAATTATTAAAACTATTAATTATATTAAAAGCATGTGTACAAGTATAGTTCTGCAAGGGTGATTCAAAAAAGAAAAAAGGCAACTCCTTTTGGAGAAAAACTAATTAAAACAAAAAAAACTTTTATTATGTAATTGATGCAAAACACATGGTAACAATGCAATGCTTACTGAAGCTTTCATTGCTCATAATGTTAGTAAAATTATATATTTTGTCCT